ATAATGCAAGAGGCCAAAGTCTTCTATTTATGTAGGTTTCAGGAAAATAATCCTCAGGAAAGATGTTCAGAATTTCATGTGGTTTTCTGTTGTTCATGGTCATGATAACCAGTGCTATATAGCTAAATTGATTCTGCTGTTTGGGAAATCCCCACAATTCAGAGTTTAAGCATGCAAACCTAGATAATTTTGTGTGTTTTTGTGTTTGTTTGTATAAAGAAAGTGATATATATATATATATATATATATATATATATATATATACACACACACACACACACACACACACACATGTGCACCTGTACATATACATACACACATACTACATAAATATATGTGTGTATACACACACACACATACGTATGTTTAAAATAGGATTATTTTACAGGGTCAGTGTTCTGAATGAGAGACAATTAATCTAGAAAAGGGTGAAGTCATGTATCAACTTGTACCAAGAAATCTGTGTAACGCTCAGAACAAATTAGTTCATGGCTAGAACTTGAATCTCAGAATCTCAAAAAAATTCTCAAGAGCCTAAAGACCATGATATTAAACTCCAGACGAAACACATGGACCAGAGGAAGACAGAATTTTCTTCTACATGGTCTTAATCCTGGACAAATCTTGTAAGCACTTTCATTATTATTATAAAATTAGAAGGCAAGTGAAAGAACTTAAGTTGTTTGGGTTCCTGCAGAATGTGTGATACCATAAGAGCAATTAAGTGAAATGCCATGAACTGTTGAGTCAGAAAGACCTGGGTTCCAGACATAAATCTGACATGAATAAGCTACTGAAGTTGGGCAAGGAATTTAGGCACTTATGATCACAAGAAAGCAAGTACATAGCCACACCTAGCCTCAGAGGTATGGAGAAGTGTAATTTCTCATGTGCCAAAAGGGAAGAATGGAATATTTGTAAACAACCTCAGTGACTACCACATTTTCTTAATTCTTTCTACTTCAATTTTGTTCCCCCGAAAACTGGGACAATAATGTCTAACAGAGGAGGACACATGTGCCTATCACGTTATGATTCACAGTAAATCTCTGGCACCACACTGCCAAAGTTGAAATCCCAGTTCCAAGCCCTATAAGCATAACCTTGGGTAACCTAAAAGGTCTCTGTCATCAGATTTCTCACCTGAAAAATAATATGCATGCCTACTATTTACCTGTGAAGATTAAGTCTGTTAATATGAACAAAATATTTAGAATAGTGCCCAGCACATAGTAAAGACACCAAGTATTTTCTCTTGACCCCTGACACTGCTCCTAGAATGTAGAGAATCCTGTGATGACTGGGTATGATGAAGATTATTACCATAATAGAAGCCAGGCTTTCTGCTGCCCAGCACTAGCTGACTGAATACCCGAGAAAGAATAAGTTGGTAAAAACTGACTGAATCAGATTCCACTCCCATCAGAGTGAACTGGAGTAGATTATTCTTGAGGACTTTATAAAGACTCACTGTGGCATATATTTAACAACAAGCTCATCAGGTGTTATCCCCACAAAACTAGAAGCTTCCTGAAGGTGGGCACATCTACTTGCTTGCCCCTGCCACCCAATGTGATGACCTCACCAAGTGGGTGTTTATGGAGTGGGACAGGGTGGAACAGCCCAGCATAACTGCAGTGATGTCAGGGAGACTTACCACATCCAAACAGAGCCACAGGCAGGGTCTGACTCTATTCATACATATACATGACTGGGCTAGTACGTGTATTGGAATTATTTTAAAATTCAAAGATGGTTTAAATGACATTTTTAAAGACACATCTAAGCCTAGTGCTGAAAGCTGTTTAGTACAGTCAGAAATTCATAGCTTTCTAATGTCTGAGTGATGCAACCAAGTTTTGGGTGTTGTCAAATTCTCCAGTAATGGGCATTATTAAACTATAGGAATAACTCATTTACCCCATAAAATTTGCAAGTTAAAATAGTGTTTTTCTACCTGAGCCATGTAGGATGCATTTTAAGACATATTTGGCTTCTTGGTGATAAAGCTTCTGATAAACTCAACATTGTAGAATCTTTGGAGTCACTCTGAAGTCACAGGGCATTTCTCTAGTCAGGTAATTTTATTCTTTAATTATGATTATTTTAAAGATCATCCAGATATTTCTCTTTCAGACCTCCTGTAGTGTCCTGGGTTTGAAGACGCTTCTCCAAGATATGTACTATTGTTATGTTTTGAGACAAAGAGAAAGTCTCTTTGGGACTTTTTTTTTTTTTTTTTTTTTGGTACTAGGGACTGAACCTGGGGGCGGTTAACCACTGAGCCACATCTCTAGACTTTTTTATTTTTTGAGACAGAGTCTTGCTAAGTTTCTTAGGGCCTTGCTATATTGCTGAGGCTGGCTTTGAATGTTAGGGACTTCTTAGGTAAGGGTTCTACCTGCCTTATCTAAGACCAGGTGATATAGTTTTATTGATATTTTTAATACTTATTTCCAATTTTTTTAATCAAACCATAGTACTCAGAGAACTGCTTAAATGAATTGTAGGCTGAGTAGTTTTCATAAATGGACACCTTTATAACCAATACTCAGGCAAGTGAGTACATCACACCACCTAAGAAATCCTGTTCATCATGTCCATTTACACTCATCAGTCCACTCGGTGGTGTAACTACACCCTGACTTCTATCACCATAGATACAGTTTTGCCTGTTATTAAAAGTAACATAAATAGAAACATATAGTACCTATGTTCTCTTTAATGTCTTGTTTATTTTGTTCAACTTTATGTTTGTGAAATTCACACATAATTTTGGGTGAAGTTGAAAACTGTTCAGTTACAGCACTGTATGGTATTCTCTTATATGAATACATAACTATTGATGAATTTTGTTGTTGATTGAAATTTGGGTATTTTCTGATTTGGAGCTATTACAAATAGTGCTGTTATGAACATTTATATTTATTTATTCATTTACTTATTTATTTGGATAACATTCTACAACTTTCTGTGAAGTAGGTAACAACTGAGACATAGGACACAGATGTTCAGCATAAGCAGAGATCCACCAAACAGTTTTCTAAAGTGGTCATATCATCTTATGATCTCATCAGCAGTGCAACTTCACATTCTTGACAACAGCTTTTTTTTTTTTTCCTTTAAATGTACTTGTTCTAGTAGGCATGTCTCAGCACTGAGTTGTGCTTTTTATTTACATTTACTTGATAACTAATTAGACTAAGTAAATTTACATTAATTGATCATTTATTATTCCCTATAAATTCTTTATTAAATGATCATTACAAATGTTTTTGTGAATTATCTGTTCATGGGTGCTCATTTTTCATTTGCTTGTATTTTCTTATTAATTTATAGGAATTTTTTATATAATCTGGATATAAGTTCTGTTACATGTACTGCTAATATCTTCATCCATATGCTTTGCTTTTTCATTTTCTTAATTTTGTCTTTTGATAAGTGAAGTTCTTAATATTATTATTATCTAAATTATGATTTTTTCCCTTTCTGATCAATATTGTCATGTGAGTATTTTAGGGGAACTTTCACCCAATTTAAGGTCATAAGGATGTTCTATATTTTCTTTCCTGGAAGCTTTACTGTTTTACCTTTCATATTTAGATCCATAGATCATTCTGTCCTCAGTACAACTTAGTTTCATCTTTACCACAGTGGTGTCTCTATCTACTGTATATCTGTGTGTATATCACACTCTTATAATTGCCATAACTCTATATTCTGCTATATGGTAGGTTAATTTATCATTTTTTCTTTAAGAGTACCTCAATTATTCTTCATTGTTTAAACTTTAGAATCAGTTTATCAGTTTCCAAATGAACACACATGTCTGCTTATATTTTCATTTGGATTGCACTGAATCTGCAAATCAACTGGGGGAGAATTAGGTCCTTAAGAATATAGAGTCCTGTTCTTAATGAAAATGGTATATCTTTCCATTTGGTGGTGGTGGGGGGGGGTCTTCTTTAATTTCTCTGAATAATATTTAGTTTCCAGTATAGAGAACTTACACATCTTGTTAGATTTATCCTTGGGGAAATTTGAGTTTTTTTGACACTATTATAAGTAGTATCTTTAATTTTTTTCATTTTTACTTGTTACTGCTATATAGACATACAGCTGATTTTTATATATTAACCACACAGTTTTTCAATGACAGAGTAAACCAAAATAATACCCCCAAAACAAATGTTGTGACTAAGAACTTGCCTTCTGCATTTTTAAAATCAACAAGAGAATGAAGCTGTATTCAAATCTTGAGAAATCTAAGCTGGAATAGTTTATAAATATAGATCACCACTAGATATTATATGTATGTATGTATGTGTGTGTGTGTGTCTATACATATATGTTTGTGCATACATAATATGCACAAACACAAACACATTAAAGACTTATTAATTTAAACAAATAGGAACAAGGAGACCATGAATTCATAAATCAGTAAAATATACTATAAATACACTTTTTTCCCATTGAGTGTTTAATGACACAATTAGGCTTACAGTGAATTATCAATTAAAGCATTTTTTTCCAAATAAAAATGTTTACATTTAAATATATCTTGTTCTTTTAAAGTCTTTACAGCATTTGTTTAGGAATATACATAATATAAAGATAAATAAACTGTATTAGCAGCATTTAAAGAGGTATAAACCTGATCAAAATCTCAAATAATAAAGTTTACTTTTGTATCATATGAAAATAATTTGAATGTAAATAATATGCAATATATAAACACATAAACATATCTTTTCATTTAACGGCTTAACAATTTATCTCAGCAAATATATATATATATATATATATATATATATACACACACACACACACACACACACACACACACAATAGTGACTGTGCAAACATTCTTGTGAATACTACTTATTTATGTCTCATTATTAGCTGCAGTGGGAACATATCTAGAAGAAGAATGCTGAATAAAAAGCTCAACATATTATGTAGGTTTATATCCAGGCTCTCATACACAACAAAATGTATGTTCTTAAATATTTAAATTTATTTGGTTTTAAAAGACTCAAAAAAGCAATAATACCATTTGATAAAATTAAAAATTTTACATAGAATAAACAATCTTTTTTTAAATCTTGCACCACTTACCACTGTAAGTTTCAGGACAGCAAGGGTTTTGTTCATGTGTTCTGCTATATTCCTGGTGCCTAGAACTGACACATAGTAGGTGTTCCATAAATATTTCTTGAATAATGAAATAAATTTTGGCATATATTTAAATAAGCTTTGAAGCATTCACATTCATGACTGAAAGGTAATATCCACTTAGATCTGGAATGTGCCAATGTTCCATTCTTTTAACTCAGGTGGAAGGACACATATGACCCCTCTTCTTTCCACTTCCAGCAGCTTTTGTCCTCACCCATGTAATCCACATTTCCTGGTAGAAAGCAAAATTTCAAACACTCACAGTAATTATTCTTTTGAGAAGACTGGAGAGCATTGTCTATAAGAGGGTTGCTTTAAGTCTGCAGGCAAAATTGACAACGCTTAATGACTCAACCAAGCTGAGTGACTCAGCAAGCACTTTAGCAGTGTCCATTACCACTGCAAAACCATCTTGTTCGAATACTTCCTTGAGACCACATGCTAAAGTCACTGTATTCACACACAGTTTTTTGTTAGACTCTTATGAAACAATCTTCCCTATTGTCTTATACTCTAAACACAGGGAGGAAGTGAAATGAAAACTTCCTTTAATACTTTTAAAAGCAATAGTGTGTCCTAGTTTATGTGACTGATGCTTATATGCCAAGAGTATAATGGAAGTAATTGTGTCAAGATTTAATATTTAAAGCAGATATAATTAACCTCATAAGGGCTTGCTATATAAGAATATACTTTATTATTTAAATATTCTCTTTAAAAAGAAGGCTTATTTAATATTGATTAGAAAATAACAAGACTCAAATTTTGGGTAAGTCAAATTCTAGATTATATGTTCAATAAATGTCTGATATAAATCATTTACTAGAAGAAGAAATGGAGTATGGAGAAATTTTCTTCATTAAGGCTGAACCTACAAGTTAGTTCTGTAGATTTTTTTCTTAAAACTTTCTTCTTACATGCCACCCCCATCTCCCACTATCCCCTATTTTTGCTTTAAAAGTATAACTATATTCAGACTTTACATAGCAGGCTTTTTTTTCATATTGTATATCATTACTACTCCAAGCATGGGGCCCCCAACTGCATCTGATAAAGTAGCAAGTCCCAGAACACCAGAACTTTTGCTTCAAAAGAGTCAAACACAATGTTTAAATGCAACTCAGGTTAATGGATAACTGTTTTGTCCTAATGTGCAATCATTTAATGTTCTGGTGCTTTTATAAAACAGGCCACAGCAATCCACAAATGTAGCTTTATACCAGTTACCAAAACTTTCATCTCTTGGGTATTTGGTAACTTAAAAAAAATAATAATAATGTGAGATAGTTCAAAGACAACTCATCTGACAAATCATTTTACGTTTCTTAGCATTAATTCATTAATTTACCTTTTTCTTCCTCTTGGAGTTGATCTCATAAATGAAGGACCACTGGATAGTATCAAATGTGACATATAGAAATACTCCAAATCCATTCCTCAAAGTTGATTTCCAAGGCAGAGACAGTAAACAGCCTTCTCCCAGCTTTCTTACTTGCCACAGCTGAGAGTGTAGGATGTTTACAGTATCTGTCGCTCAGTGCTCTCTAGGGAGGGGTTGGTGGTCAGCAGTAGAAGCCTCAGGAAACCCAGCACTATTTCAAGATTACTATAATATGTCACGGAAAAAAGATCAAAAAAGTATACTTGGGACTAAATTATGGCTCTTTTATAAACCTGGGCTGAAAGGGTAGGCGTGGAGGCCACACAATTCTTACTTGCTTTCCCTAAGTTCTTGTTCCCTTCCTGCTCTGTATAATCCAGGATTTTCCTGGAATCTTCAGCTTTGGCCATGCACATTCAGGGATTCTGTTAATATTGGATGTTCAATATCTATGTTTTTCCAAAATGGTCTCAAAAGTTTTATCCCCTCCTTAAATGGCACACATTTCCTTTCTGACTGTGGGAAGAAAAGTAATCTAGCTTCTCACTCTCTGAACCATATGACTTTGTTCCATCTCACTCCCACACAGAGCTGAGAACAATGGCTGAACTGTGTCTGCAGACAGAGGACCATCCAACAGTTTAGTAAAAGTTAGTTACCTTCATTATGGTTTATGTAGTTATAAATTCAATCAAATGAATAAAAAGTAAATGTTAGGATAAAAATCATGTGCACAAAATGGTGTATCGCAAATTGTTAATGCTTAAGTTTTTTTTTTTTTTTTAAATCTCATACTTAGAAGGAAGTAATTCTGTAATTGGAAACATATGCATAAATAGAGTTATTATATTCCTAAACTCTTTTCTAACCTTTTAAATGGTCATGATGCTCAAAACACTTGGGTGAAGAAGAGAATGTCAATACTGTATATCACAGAACAACACTACTTACCAAGAACACTATACTATAAACTAAAGTAGTATATAGTCTGAAATTGTTAGAGGATATCACTCTTTCATTCGACAAACATTTGTGGGTACCTGCCATATACCAGTGATGTTTAAAAATCTAGGTGGTAAGAAATGCATAACATCATCCCTGCCCTCAAGAAAGCTTGATATGACAGACACATAAACCTTTAAGTGTAACACATGTTATGGTGGGTCAAAAGTTGCCTGACAAACCAGGCTAGGTTGGAATATTGAATAAAGTTGGTGAAGTGAAGATAGTGCCAGTAGGAATTTGGAAAGGATAGACAGTGATGAAAGAATGTCACAGAGAAAGACAAAGTTAAGGTATGCTGAGACCTTCAAGAATTCAGCAGTTGGAACAAAAGATGCACATGGGGAGGGGGAGGGGGAAGTGGGGCTAGAGAGAAGCACAGGGGAAGATGGGGGCCCTTATATGCCAGGCTAAGGGATTTGGGCAGTATGTCGAAACTACAGAGGCCAAAGGAAAAGTGTAAGCAGGCAAATGGTATGACCATATTTGAACTTTAGAGAATTTGCTTTAGCAAATTCTGTAGGCAAGGAAAATAGGGAAAGGATGACTTTCTGTGTTAGTAGTATAGAGGATAGCACAAAAACTTTTACTTAGGGAAGAGATAGTAGGCACGTAGAGAAAACAAATATGAGAAAGCAGAAAGATAAAAAGCACAGCAGAAATCCATGAGTGACTACTTCAGGAGATGAAGAAGTTGCCTAATTCTTAAGTCTGGCTTGAGTGACAAGGCTTTTCATGCAGGAGAGGTTAAGTATGAAGACAAGTGATAAAGGAAAGAGCTCTGAGAAGTACCAATGGTAATGTGAAAGGGAAGGGACTGAAACATTTATGAACTCCTGTGTGTTGAATACTGAGTTCTGTCATAATGAAAGGATGAAGACATTTTTCATGACCAAATCACACAAGCCTACTCTCTATTTTACACTTGTGCTTACCCTTTTAGCTGGTGAATACCCATGCTCTTCAAATCCAAATCAAATGTCCTATCTTGTAAAGCCTCATCTGGTTATTGCCATCCCTGATACCTGCCCCCCTTCCCCCATCCTGGGAGAAACTGTTGAACCTGTCTTCTCACCACTACTGTAACTCTACATATTCTTCTAGCAAAGAATTCTAACTTTATTATAATTATTTTCTTACTGGTCTACCTCTCTGTAAAGCCAAGTCACTTGAGAAGAAACACCATGTTTTGTTTCACTTAGTTTAGTTTTTTAAAAATTCACACCATGTAGGAGCTTAAGTTGTGGCTCAGTGGTAGAGTGCTTGCCTTGCACATGTGAGGCACTGGATTAGATCCTCAGCACCACATAAAATAAACAAGTAAAACAAAGTTACTGTGTCCATGTTCAACTTAAAGAAAATTAAAAAAAAAAAAAATTAAAAAAAAAAATCACAACATGTAGCCAGGGTTTGTTTGGCACTAAAGGAAGTTCTTGGTAAACAGTGAATGAATGAATGATGCTAACATCTGGCAATTTATTAACAATTTGAATATGATTATTAATATTTTTAATCTTAAAATAAAAAAATATGAGTTTGTGAAAGCTGTTTTTAAAATCCCTGATAATGCAAAGTTAGGTTGTTTTACTTTTCTAAGGAATTCATGGCTAAAAAAAGAAATGACTGCATCACACTCTTGCCTTAAATGACAGCAATATCTCTTGGAAAGTTAATCTTTCATGAGGGCAGCCTGAATTTTAAATTTTATTTTTTGATAGATTCCAAGTGAAGAAAAGTCAAAGTAAAATGTAACTACAGAGAAGAAATCCATGTAAACAGTCTTTAAATGGACAAGAATGAAAGGAAATGGCCCCTAATAGTTGGGTCTGAATATTGAATAATCATTTAAGAGTTTAAAATGTTCTAACTGGAAAGAACCACACCCTTACTAAATATAGTCATTAAAATAACTTCAGTTACATAAAATGATTATTTTAACCACTCAAAGACAAGTCTGGAAAGTTCTGTCGTAACATGCAATCTAATCTTTTTGCTTTAGCAGGGCTTTTGACTTTAATAGGCATTTTAGTCACATAAAGCCAATCTCTGGTAAACTACCATTTGATCATTTTTAGTTCTAAATGAAAACACTTATTTTAAATGTATATTATAACTGATCACATTTGGCATATTCCATATTCAAAAAATGTGTGTGTGCATGCATGGGAATGTGCTGGTGATTGAACCTAGGGCCCTGCATTCTATAACTGAGCTAGCCCCCCCAACCCCCACCATCCCCATCCCCCACCCCAGGCCTCTATAAGCCTTTAATCTATTATATGATTTTAAAAATCCCTAGTAGTGCAGAACATCTTTCAGATACACAGGAGCTTTCTCTGTCATTTTTAAGTTAAAATGTAGCAGCTTCAAAGTAGCCAGTGAATGATTCATTGGAGAAAAAACATTGTTACCATTTTTGAAGCTTAAGGTATCTTGTGTACTAGGATTTTTAGCTGCTCATTCCCTGCTCAGGCATAGGTGTTACTAATTCTTCTTCTTTTTTTTTTAATTGTTGATAAATCTTTATTTTATTTATTTATTTTATATGGGGTGCTGAGAATTGAACCCAGTGTCTCACACATGCCAGGCAAGTGCACTAACGCTGCACCCCAGGCCCAGCCCCAGCCCAGATGTTACTAATTCTTAAAGTCAGGTCCAGGTCTCCTACTGCTGTTGGATTTTTAGAGCCAAATGGGAAAAAATACCTGGTGAGGAGGTTTCTTATTCTAAGGGCATGTTTCCATAAGTTACTTTGCTACCTGTCCCCTTCCCTTGTCTAGATCTGGCTTAGGGTACCATTTTCTTTTCCACCTTTTATTCCACTTTCATCTTGCATGCATAGAAGGTGA